GACAGCATATCTGTGTATCACCTCCTCTGATCCAAACTTTAATTGCAATCAGAGTCAGACAGACTTGAGTTGAAAACCTTGTTTTGCAAATCACCAATTCCAAGGGCTAATTCAAGTCCTCTCTGAGGCTGTTTCTTCACATGAAAAATCTACCTCATGAGACAATTATGAGGATTGAATTAGTTAATACAGGTAAAATGCTTAATACAATAAATGCTCAAAATTGGAGGTTACTAGAAGTATTTTTTTGTTTCAGTAACAGCTTTTTAATAAGCTATGTATCACTTATATTGAGCATGTGGTCAATGAAATACCTACGTGTCTTTTTCCACACAAAGAGCAAGTCAGGTCTCTTCCTTTTGTACTGCTTTAGTTTTGCTTTAACCTGAACATTACAGTCTAGATTGATCTCATTACCATCTTGTCTTGCAGATTTAAAATTAGCATTCAAAGCTGTTAGTTCCAAATTTTGGTTATGTCTTATATGGTGTTAGTTACACTCTCCAACTTTACCTACAAACTTGATAAGCATCTGCAGGCTTGCACCTGACTCATGAATTTAGAACACAATCAAACAAAGAAGAGATTGAATTAGACCAGGACTAGAACAAAGCTGACTTCCTTTCTGGCTGACAGGGTCACTAATCCACTTGCTCTTGGTCTGAAGAGAAGCGCTGTGCCCATGTTACAATGCTTTCCCTTAGGGGATGATCAGATATTTTTGCCCAAATAAAAACTCACTACATTGGCAGTTCCTCTTGAATTTACTAAATGTATAACCCTAGTAAACAAGATGAGGGCCCCCCAATTTTTTCTTAATAACCCTGTGTGGTTCCCAGTGATCCTGAATTTGGTTTTGAATGCCTAGAACCCAACCACTTCAGTTCCCTCAAGTGACTGCCGGGGACCAAGCTCCCACTCCTGGTTTGTAATCTCAGTGCGCTGTCCTCATGCCCCATCTGAAAACTAGAGCTTTTGCTGGTCTACAGTCTTGGGGCAAATACCCTATTTCTTTCTGTTTTTCTCAAAGCTTAATAATAGCAGTTCTGTGGTTCTACCTGCAGTGGCCTGCAAGATGGAGATGGTTCTTTTAGGCTCTGAAAGCCCTTGATCCCTTACCAGGCCCTTACCTGTTTTTCTCCCCACATGTACACACTTCTTCCAATCTTAGAAATCAGTGAAGTGTCAACCACTATCATGTCTTTGGTTACCTAAGCCTTGTAAGGACTTGGAAGCATTTGCCAAATGCAGAATTGACTGGAACTTTTCTAAGGTAGATCACCAAGCCCACCCTGGCCTGGATCATCATTTAGCCAACCAGCAAGCATGTTCTGAGAACTGGCCCACAGGAGCCATGGGAGCACACCACCAGTTGGCCTCTTCCTGGACACGGGGTCCCACGTTCCCACCCACTCGCCCTTGAACATGAACCACAGTCTTCCCAGTCCTTCATCCAAGCATCCAACACCACAGCCAGCACAGTTTCTCTTCCCATCCTGCCTTCCCTTTTGTTCCCTTCACCCAAATCCAAATCCCCCTTTACATGTCCATTCCCTGTACCCTGTGCAGAGGAGGGGCATACACCAGTGCCCTGAAGAGCACATTGTATTTTCAGCATGAACAAATCTGCCATGTCTGAATGGGCTGGAGAAAGCATTCCATTAGCAAACATTTCTGTTATTTCTCCTTCAGCCATTTCATCAGCTTGAAAGGAGGGTCTGGGAGAGTAGAGGCTGCCAGCCTCCCTCTGATGCTCCACACCCTGCCTGCAGGCAGAGAGGCAGGGGCTCTCCTGGACACTGATGAATCAGGCTGGGCAGCTACTGCAGGCTCTTTGTCACCCCCTGGACAGGAAGCCCTGGGAGTGCCAGGCTGCTGTCCACACTCCACAGTGAGGATGTGCGTGTGGATGGCCCAGGTACAGTTAAGTGCCTTCAGATCAGACACAATGGACCCTTCTGTCTCCTACATGGGACCAAGAGAGGGGGGAAACAATCCATCAACCAGGACACCTGGAATTAGTCCTCTCCCCCCATTCTCACCTGTTCCTGATCACCAGGCACCTTGAGCTTCAGCAATATGGGAAGAACCTGCCTGTGTTTCTCTAGCACCACGTTGGCATTTATAAGTCTGCAGCCAGACTTATAAGGTGTGCAGTCCACTTCTACCACCTATGAGCCATGTGACCTGGGCAGATTACTTGGCTTTTCTAGATTAATGCTTACCTCCTAGAGGGGTAGTCAGGGTTAGATGAGTTGAAGTGAGCTACCAGAATAAAGTTCCCAATGCATGGCACAGAATAAGCTTTCCGTAACTAATCATTCCTATCCTTTCCCTGCCTGGGCTCGATGCATCCTCCATCAGGGCCTTGAGTTGCCTCCTCTGTTGTGCATGGACTGAGCCTTCCCCAGCTGTACAGTGAGTGATTCTCCACTGTGATTCCCCAACTGTACTATCTTTGGTCAGAGGATGGCTGCCCATGGGAGAAAACACACTAATGCAATTCAATACATGTCACCATGAGTTTAGACAATCTGGGTGCAAAGAGGAGCCAGCTATCAGGACTGGATAAAAAGAGAACAGTTATGGATAGAGGGCAAGGACATTTACGAAAGGCAAACTAAATTAAGAAGAAGACAGACTTCTATGGCAGCCAAGGGAGCGAACTCTGGTCCGGGCAGAGCTCTGTGAACACCCTGAGTGCTGGGAGTGGCGACTGCACAGCTTGTCAACACTGTGTCCTTGCCCATCCTCACGGGCTGCAGTAAGGCCACATACTGCAGACTGGGCATTGTTTTTTCTGTGGATTCTGGGAACCAGGGAGGCCTCCTTTTGTTGGCCTTAACAGTGACAGTCCCCCAGAAGGGGAATGTTAGCACTTTGGAAGCACATTTCTATGCATGGGGGCACCACGTAGTGGCCCAGCATAGCCCACCCCTTCAGAGAAGGACAATGGCCAGATCTCAGGCTGAAGGGGCCAAAGGGCATGAAGGTAGACCTAGACTTGATGCTTGAGGACCTTGTGAACTCTGGCCAAGGAGTGGTGACAGGGGTTATTTTTGATGCCTTAAAAAGGGGATCTCCCTCCTAGGGTTCCTTGGGCATCTCCAGTCTCCAAAACGATATTCCTTCCTTCAAACCTAATTTTGCATCTTCTGCCTTCAGGCTGACATGGCCATTCCTAAATGTTTCACCTAAAGAGGTCACAAGATGCTAAATCTGAAATGGACTTTTCAGTGGTCCTCAGCATGGCAGGGAGTCAGCCCAGAGCAGGGAGCAGGAGCAACGTCAGGCTCCTGAGGCAGATGCCGGGGAGCAGGGAGATGAGAAAGGCCCTGAGGTAACTCTGGAGGGGGCACCCTCAAAAGGGCACCTCTACTTAGAAACACAGATAAGTCAAAGGTTTGGTTTTCTAGCTGGGGAAGCTAAGCCCCTGCTTGGGCAAGTACATTCACAGGTTAATATAGATAAAAGCATCTGTAGATTTTCCAGTGAGGCATGGAGCCAGGACATAGCAAAGGAGAGAGGGCCCAGTAGGGGTTCCTCTCTGACCCCAGTTACTTGGCTAAAAAAGAGGTCTAGGATGACCTGGAGCAGAAAGAAGGGGAACAAACAGGACTCTGAGCATTGCAGGAGCTGTGCCTGTAGCCTTAGATGGGGCTGCTCTCCCAAAACCCTACTCCAAATTTGTGTTGCTAATTGTGGGGGCTGCCTGGGACCCAAAGAGAGAGCCTCAGCAGCTCTGGGCCCATGCAGAGCCCGCAGCCCTCCCAGCAATGATGTCCAGAACACAGTCCAGCTGCCAGGGACTTGGTCATCTACAAACAACTGGAAGTTCCCTGGTCTTGGCTTGAAAGCCCCTGGAGAGCAAAGCCATATCTAAAAGTGGCCTTTGAGTAGCCCTGACCAGCACTGACTGTGCTGGGACACAGGGCCTTTTGAGGGGAAGCTGCTGCACCAATGTCCTGGCATTACTCTCCTGCCTCCGGGACCTTGATGAAGGGAGGAGTTTGGTCCATGAGAACGTTTGCCTTTGAGCCCATTTTCAGTCCCAAAAGTACCCACTGAAAGCCTGATTCACAGGTGTGTGCAGATGATGTCTGCTTTCCATGCTCACTGCAGAGTGACCAGGAAGAAAAGGGCTTACATTGCAACAGAGAGATTTAGGTGAGATGAGGCTTAGAGAAGCCTGTGACAGAGCATATGCCAGGACGGATTTCTGAGGGCATCTGCAGAATTCAAAAAGGGTGATTTAGAAACAGGACATGTCCACAGCAAGGATCTAAGCATTCTGCTTCCTGAAGGTGGGAAGGTGGGCCAACTGACTTAGTGGGATGCTTTTCAGATCCTGCAATGCTGTAATTACACAGATAAAAGGACTGACAGGACTTTATGTTGCAAGTTGGCAAGGAAAAATTTCAGTTATAAAAATATTATATGTATGTTTTTTAAAAAGAGAGGAGTCAGATAATGACTGAGGAAAACTTGCAAAGGTGCTGCTTAAAAGAAAACACTTGGAAGATATCCCAATACCCTGGCCTCTTAGACTCTGCTATCTTTTTAATTCCCTACATTCATGTTCTCTGACTTATCTGTGAATTTGGTTAACACATTCCCCAGCTGCCCAATTGGATAAGATAAGGCAGAAGATGTTAATAGAGAATGCTCCATCTTTTTCCACTGAGTCTGATTTCAGGATTCATTGACTTGCTAAACCCAATCTTTTCCCTGCATTCTATGTCCTATATGGGTTTATCAATGCGCAGATAATCTTCCTGCCAAGCATCCAATGAGTGCCCACAATGGGCAGCCTGCAGATGCGGCGGGCATCCTATGGTTCCTGGGAGCCTGAAGAGAGACACACCACTGGGCCCTGGAGGCTGGCAGGAGGCTTGTGGTTGGGACTGGCCAGTCTGGCTATACGGAGTGCTCCAAGCATTTGCCTGCTGGACTCAGTGATTTGCCAGGGGTCAGGCAGTGGGTGTCTGCTTTCTACTCACCTCGGCCGGTGCTGTAATGCTGGAGCTTATCGCTGTACACAGCCTCTTTGCTGTAAGCCCGTTTCCTGTGGATTCAAGGAATACCCCTCTCAGCAGAGGTGCGCACTCACTGCTCTGTACCAGAGAGCTCTGCTCAGGCCTCCTGTCCTGATGGGGGCCCACGCAGGCATCTCCTGGATTGGAAACTGGGAAATTCTCACTTGAGAGTTTAGCTCCTGTCCTGGCCAGCATTTTGGCATGACCACCACTGTGGGTATTTAAGTCTGCTTTCAGGTCAAGGTCTTTCAGAGGCCAGGCAGGACTGTGGGTCCCCATCAGAGCTGGGGCAGAGGCCCTGAGGACACCCATCAGCACTCAGGCTGTGCTGTAGGACTGTGGAACTGCTTGGAAGGGGCCAACACAGACCTTGCCCAGCAGAATCTGGGCTAACCCCTGAATATAGTACAACATTATTAAAAATTCACCCTTGGAGCTCTTGTTTCCTACGTGGCTCCCCTCCTGCCCACCTGCCGTGTGCTCTCACTAGGGCCTTGGCTCTCTAACCAGAGGATGGCCTGTGGCCCAGGGTATCGTGCCCCAGTGGGACAAATGCAACTTTGGATCTGTCACTCGGACAGTGAGGGGGGCTAAAAGGCTTGGCTAAAACGAGGTTTGAATATGGAGGATGTTTGCTCGTAGCCTTGCCCAGTTCTTACAGAGCATTTTATCCTAGGCACAGAGAAAACAAATAATCTGGAGAATTCTGGCTGCCTGTGGATTGAGTGCAGTGATGATTGTGAATTGAGAGTGTGTTCGTGACAGGTCAGGCCCTGTCCAGTCTGGGTCTGGGGAGGGGCCTACTTGTGCAGAGTGGCTTCCTTGGGGATAAAGAGAGCAGGTAGAAGCAGGAGTGGAGGGCCTACCTGCTACAGACGATGGAGATGGCCACCAAGGACACCACAAACACGACCCCGGCTGCCGCGGAGCCAGCAATCAGGGGCAGCTGCTCCCTCAGCTCAGACTTGTAATCATCTAGGTGAGAAAAAGGCATTAGAATTCTTCCTTGCATGCCCTTTGCACACAGCTGGTACTCGATGCATGATACCAACGACATTATAAATAAATAAATACACATATATGTATATGTATATGTATATGTATATGTATATGTATATGTATATGTATATGTATATGTATATGTATATGTATATGTGTAGTACAGCTTCTATACTTCAGAGCTGTAAGCCTAGCCAAAACAAAGAGGGCTCTCTGAGTCACACATAGACAAAAACAACCCAAATCAAATGATAATGACAACAATAAAAACAAAACAGCAGTGACATAGAGAATCTCAGAACTAAATGCTGATGACACTCCTCTCCACAGCAGAGGTGACGCCAATCTACATCTCTTTTCAGAAAACAGTCAGCCACGCTAAGGATAAGTCCTATGCGGTGAAATGAGACCCACTGCTGAGGTATCTTCTAACACACGAAGTGGTTGAAATGCAGCCCAGTGAGCAGACTCATTGAGCAGGTATTTAAAGAATACCCATAGCCAGCCAGCACCGCACCAGGTGCTGCGGTGGAAGAAGCTGCGCCTGGGAGATGGCTCAGCACTCCAGATCTCCCACTCAGGAAGAATGGCCTCAAGACTTCTGCCAATGTTGGAATCATGCTGGACCAGGGGAATGGGAAGCCCAGGGGCAGAGCTTGCTCAAACCCTGGCTCTACCACGTGTGAGCTTTGTAATCTTGGACACAGCATTTAGTCTCTCTGACCCTCAGGCTCCTTTTCTGTTAAAATAATCATCATCATCATCATCATCATCATCATCATCATCATGTGAAGTACATTTCAGTGTTGGACCTATCATTGGTGTCCCAAATACTAATTCTGTTTTCCTTAATCCATATAACCACTTGGCCCTGTGGGCTATTATGATGATTGTACTTATTCTTCCATGTGGTGTAAAAGAGCCATTATTCAATGTTAGGACTCAGGCATATGGAGGTCAAGCTATTGCAATTACGGGTGCAAGCTACAGCAGATAAAAATGCAGGATGGCCGTGAAGTTTAATTTCAGATCAACAATGAATAATGTTTTATTATAAGTATGCCCCAAATATTGCAGGGGAGATACTTAGACCAGAACATTACTTGTTGCTTATCTGAAGCTCAAACTTAATTGGCCATCCTGTATTTTTTTTATTAAGGTACCATTGATATACTCTGTTATGAAGGTATCACAAGAAAAACAATGTGGTTATTACATTCACCCTTATTATTGAGTGCCTCCCCCATGCCCCATTGCAGTCACTATCCATCAGTGTAGTAAGATGCCACAGGGTCCCTATTTGTTTTCTCTGAGCTACACTGTCTTCCCTGTTACTCCATACACACCATGTGCACCAATCACGATACCCCACAATCCCCTTCTCCCTTCCTCCCAACCTGCCCTCCCGCACCACCCCACCTCTTTGGTAACCACTAGTCCTTTCTTGGAGTCTGTGAGTCTGCTGCGATTTTGTTCCTTCAGTTTTGCTTCATTGTTATACTTCACAAAAGAGGGAAATCATTTGGTATTTGTCTTTCTCTGCCTGACTTATTTCACTGTGCATAATACCCTCTAGCTCCATCCATGTTGTTGCAAATGGTAGGATTTGTTTCTTTCTTATGGCTGAATATGTATATGTATATGTAACACTTCTTCTTTACCCATTCATCTACTAGTGGACACTTATATTTCTTCCATTTCTTGGCTATTGTAAATAGTGCTGCAAAAAACATACGGGTGCATATGTCTTTTTGAATCTGAGAAGTTGTTTTCTTTGGGTAAATTCCTAGGAGTGGAATTCCTGGGTCAAATGGTATTTCTATTTTGAGTTTTTTGAGGAACATCCATATTGCTTTCCACAGTGGTTAAACTAGTTTACATTCCCACTAGTAGCGTAGGATGGTTCCCCTTACTCCGCATCCTCACCAGCATTTGTTTTTGTTTGTCTTTTGGATGGCGGCCATCCTAACTGGTGTGAGGTGATATCTCATTGTGATTTTAATTTGTATTTCCCTGATGATTAGTGATGTGGAACATCTTTTCATGTGCCTCTTGGCAATCTGAATTTCTTCTTTACAGAAGTGTTTGTTCATATCCTCTGCCCATTTTTTAATAGGGTTATTTGCTTTTTGGGTGTTGAGGATGTGAGTTCTTTATATATTTTGGATGTTAACCCCTTGTTGGATATGTCATTTACAAATATATTCTCCCATACTGTAGGATGTCTTTTTGTTCTGTTGATGGTGTCCTTTGCTGTACAGAAGCTTTTTAGCATGATGTAATCCCATTTGTTCATTTTTAATTTTGTTTCCCCTGCCCAAGGGGATGTGTACAGGAAACAGTTGCTCATATTTATATTCAAGAGATTTTTGCCTATGTTTTCTTCTAAGAGTTTTATGGTTTCATGACTTACGTTCAGGTTTTTTATCCATTTTGAATTTACTTTTGTGTATGGGGTTGGACAATAATCCAGTTTCATTCTCCTGCATATAGCTGTCCAGTTTTGCCTACACCAGTTGTTGAAGAGGCTGTCATGTCTGCATTGTATATCCATGGTTTCTTTATCATATATTAATTGACCACATATGCTTGGGTTTATATCTGAGCTCTCTAGTCAGTTCCATTCATATATGGGTCTGTTCTTGTGCCAGTATCAAGTTATCTTGATTACTGTGGCTTTGTAGTAGAGCTTGAAGTCAGGGATCATAATCCCCATGCTTTATTCTTCCTTCTCAGGATTGCTTTGGCTTTTCTGGTCTTTTGTGCTTCTATATGAATTTTAGAATTATTTGCTCTAGTTCATTGAAGAAGGCTGTTGGTATTTTGATAGGGATTGCATTGAATCTGTAGATTGCTTTAGGCAGGATGGCATTTGAACAACATAAATTCTTCCTATCCATGAGCACAGGATGTGTTTCCATTTATTGGTATCTTCTTTAATTTCTCTCATGAGTGTCTTGTAGTTTTCAGAGTATAGGTCTTCCACTTTCTTGGTTAGGTTTATTCCTAGGTATTTTATTCTTTTTCATGCAATTGTGAAAGGAATTGTTTTCCTGATTTCTCTTTCTGCCACTTCATTGTTAGTGTATAGGAGTGCAACAGATTTCTGTGTATTAATTTTGTATGCCGCAACTTTGCTGAATTCAGATATTAGATCTAGTAGTTTTGGAGTGAATTCTTCCGGGTTTTTTATGTACAATATCATGCCATCTGCAAACAGGGGCAGTTTAAATTCTTCCTTGCCAATCTGGATGCCTTTATTTCTTTGTGTTGTCTGATTTCCATGGCTAGGACCTCCAGTACTATGTTGAATAGAAGTGGGGAGAGTGGGCATCCTTGTCTTGTTCCCGATCTTAAAGGAAAAGCTTTCAGCTTCTCGCTGTTAAGTATGATATTGGATGTGGGTTTGTCATATATGGCCTTTATTATGTTGAGGTACTTGCCTTCTATATCCATTTTGTTCAGAGTTTTCATCATGAATGGATGTTGAATTTTGTCAAATGCTTTTTCAGCATCTTTGGAGTGATCATGTGGCTTTTGTCCTTCTTTTTTGTTGGTGTGGTGGATGATGTTGATGGATTTTCAAATATTGTACCCCCTTTGCATCCCTGGAATAAATCTTACTTGATCATGATGGATGATCTTTTTGATGTATTTTTGAATATGGTTTGCTAATATTTTGTTGAGGATTTTTGCATCTATGATCATCATGGATATGGTTTGTAATTTTCTTTTTTTGTGGTGTCTTTGCCTGGTTTTGGTATTAGAGGGATGCTGGCCTCGTAGAATGAGATGGGAGTATTCCCTCCTCTTCTACTTTTTGGAAAACTTTAAGGAGGATGGGTATTAGGTCTTTACTAAATGTTTGATAAAATTCAGCAGTGAAACCACCTGGTCCAGGAGTTTTGTTCTTAGGTAGTTTTTTGAATACCAATCCAATTTCCTTGCTGGTAATTGGTCTATTCAGATTTTCTGTTTCTTCCTGGGTCAGCCTTGGAAGGTTGTATTTCTCTAGAAAGTTGTCCATTTCTTCTAGGTTATCCAGTTTGTTAGCATATAATTTTTCATAGTATTCTCTCATAATACTTTGTATTTCTGTGGTGTCCGTAGTGATTTTTCCTTTCTCATTTCTGATTCTGTTTATGAGTGGAGACTCTCTTTTTTTCTTGGTAAGTCTGGTTGGGGGTTTATCTATTTTGTTTATTTTCTCAAAGAACCAGCTCCTGCTTTAATTGATTCTTTCTATTGTTTCACTCTTCTTGATTTTATCTATTTCTGCTCTAATCTTTATTATGTCCCTCCTTCTACTGACTTTGGGCCTCATTTGTTCTTCCTTTTCTAGTTTCATTAATTGTGAGTTTAGACTGTTCATATGGGATTTGTAGTAGAGCTTGAAGTCAGGGATCATAATCCCCATGCTTTATTCTTCCTTCTCAGGATTGCTTTGGCTTTTCCGGTCTTTCGTGCTTCTATATGAATTTTAGAATTATTTGCTCTAGTTCATTGAAGAATGCTGTTGGTATTTTGATAGGGATTGCATTGAATCTGTAGATTGCTTTAGGCAGGATGGCCATTTGAACAACATAAATTCTTCCTATCCATGAGCATGGGATGTGTTTCCATTTATTGGTATCTTCTTTAATTTCTGAGGTTGGCCTATATTGCAATATACTTCCCTCTTAGCACAGCTTTTGCAGCATCCCACAGATTTTGCGGTGTTGAATTATTGTTGTCATTTGTCTCCATATATTGCTTGATCTCTGTTTTTATTTGGTCAGTCATCCATTGATTATTTAGGAGCATGTCATTGTGCCTCCAGGTGTTTGTGGGCTTTTTTGTTTTCTTTATGTAATTTATTTCTAGTTTCATATCTTTGTAGTCTGAGAAGCTGGTTGGTACAATTTCAATCTTTTTGAGTTTACTGAGGCTCTTTTCATTGGCTAGTATATTATCGATTCTTGGGAATGTTCCATGTG